CTGCTGGGAGGCTGAGGCAGGAGCATGATTTGAGTCCAGGAGTTTGAAACCAGCCTGGTGATTAAGCAAGACCCCACCTCAGAAAAGAAACACAAGCACACATGGAACAGCAAAAGCCCCAAGTGGGGGTGTAGAGCGCTGTCTGCAATCCACAAGGCCTTGAGTTCAATGCCCAGCACGGCAACAAATAGAAACAACATAAACTGTAGTTTTAATTACGTTAAATACAAATGTAAAAGTGCTCCAGTTAAAAGGCACGCCTGTTATCCCAGCACTCCGGAGGGAGGCAGAGGCAGGAGGAGCACTGCAAGTTCAAGGCCAGCCTGGACTACATAGCGAGACCCTGTCTCAAAAAAATAAAAAACAAAAAAGGCAAGGTATCTTTTATATGATATTAGCAAACAAACGCAAAATGAAATCAAGAAAATATACATTTTACAATAGACCAAAAGAAATATGAAGAATAAAGAAATCAAACAACAAGAGGTGCGCAAGACCATAATGGCAAAATTATAAAACCTACTGGCAAACTTTAAAGAAGACCCAAGTGAATAGAACGAACCAGAAGGCTCCATAATGTAGAGACGTCAGCTTTCCTCGAGCTGTTTCACCGCAGTGGTGAGTTCTCAATCAAGATGCCAACTGGGTTGTTGCTATTGTACCCAACAAGCCGGTTTTATGTGGGAAGCTGGCATGGTGGCACCTATAGTCCTAGCTACTTGGGAGGCTGAGACAGGAAGACTGCTCAGGAGCTAGGGGCCCAACTGGACAACATAATGAAACCCCATTTAAGAAACAAGTGTTTTTGTTTTTTATTGTTTTGGGTACTGGGGATTGAACCCAGAGCCTTTATACTGAACTATATCCCCAACCTTTTTCATTTTTGAGACAGGGTCTTGCTAAATTGTTAAACTTAGGCCTAGGCAGGCCTCAAAACTTACAATGTTCCTGCGTCAGCCTCTCAGGGTGCTGGGATCGCAGGCACATTCCACATAATGCTTGGCTGAAAATTTCTTAAACAAGTAACAAAGAGCACTAACCAAAACGGAATCACCAGCCAAACTGCTTCAAAAATAAGAACGGATCACCAGAAGATGCTATAATCAGTCGAGGTAAGCCAGAGTTGGAAGAGATATTTGCAACATGCATTACTAACAGTATCGTGTATACTAACAGTATACACAGGAGTTATAAAACAGCCAGGCATGGTGGCGCATGCCTGTAATCCCAGCACTCGGGAGGCTGAAGCAGGAGGATCATTGCAAGTTTGAGACCAACTTGGGCTACAGAGTGAGACCCTGTCTCAAAAAGACAAAAATAAACAAATAAATAAATACACAAATAAAAGAAAGAAAACCTGTAACACCAGGTAAAAAACGGGTGGAAGATGGAGCGGGGGATTTAGCTCAGCGGCAAAAGCGCCTGCCTGGCAAGCGCAAGGTCGTGAGTTGGATTCCTGGTCCTGGAGAAAAACAAACAAACCAAAAAAGGGTGGAAGAGATGAAGAGGCACTTCACAGGAGACAAAACCAGCATGGCTAACAAACCATGCTCCATTAGTCCTTAGCTAAATGCAAATTAAAGCCAGAATCATATGCCTACCAGGCTAGGAAAGTGAAAAGCCTGTGAAAGCCAAGCACGATCAGGCCCAGGGCCAGAGAACTTCTCATGCTGACGGTGGACACGGGCACCAGAGCACTATTCCTGGGAATCAGAAAGAAGATCCTGGTGCCCGGGACAGCGGTGTCTGTGATGAGCCCCGGGGAAAACAGCCCAGGCCCACCCACAGTCAGCCGGTGGACAGATCTCACAGCGAGCTTCCACACGCCACGCTGCACACGCCCAGCGAGTGAGTCTCCCGCCCATAAGCCAGAGACGCCAGACGCCGGAGCGCGCATCTGTGTTATTCCACTGCTATAAAACACAGAAGCAGGAAAAGGTTGGGGTGGATGCGTAACGGGCGGCGGAGAAATAAGAACACAAGGCACAAAGATGGCGGAAGGCCAGGTACAGCGGTGCGTGTCTGTGAGCCTGGCACTCCGGGAGGCTGAGGCAGGATTTCAAGTTTGAGCCCTGCAAATTAGCAACTTAGAGAGACTCTGTCTCAAAATAAAATGGGCTAGGATGTGCCGAGACCCTGGGTTCAATCCCCAGCAGTGTAAAAGAGAACACAAAATAAGAGTGGAGGGGCAGTGCGGGAGGGGAGGCAGGGAGGGCGCCCACGTGCTGCTGGAGCCTGCTCCTCCAGGTCACTTGGATGTGCGTAACAGCTCGCCAGGCTGCACCGTTTTGTTTACTTTTCTGTGTTCTATTCCACAGGAAACGAGGGGGAAATGGGCAGGGATAAGGCCCGAGGGCAACGCGAGGGCAGGGGCCAGGCAGCCTCCAAGGGTCCCGTGGCCTCAGATGGGGCCTGCTCCCTGCTCCAGTTGCCCTAAGCAGAGCCTGGCCGGGAGCTGAGTGCAGGCTGACCCCTTCCGGCCCTGCCTGCCCCGGGTGGAGGAAGGAAGCACAGGCAGAGCCAGTGGGGTGTACGCATGAGGCCACAGCTCCCCTCCTCTGGAAATACTGGACTTGGCCCGGGTGCCCTGTGCGACCATGGAGTTGTCCAGTCATTCCCAGGGCCTGGTTGCTCTCAGGAGCCTCTGCTTCCGGGCCTCAGTCTCCCCACCTGTAAAATGGTGCAACCATGGTCCGATGAGCAAAATAGGAAGCCGCAGGCCACTGAATTTCCTCCCTCAGCCCTCCTGGCCCTGCCTAGGACACAGAAACCTCTTCAGAGCAGAGTCCAAGCCCCGACCAGCAGGGGGCGCTCCCCACCACGTGACCCAGAGTTGAGACTGGGTGGGACCTGGAGGGATCCCAATTTGTGAGCGGTCCTCCTGGCTCTAAAGTCATCTTCTCTGGAGCTGGGGCGTGGGACACAGCATTTGCCTGACACGAACAAGGCTCTGGTTCCATCCCTGGCATTGCAAAAATAATCATAACCAAGTGTCGGGGCTGGGGATTTAGCTCAGCGGCACAGCGCCTGCCTGGCAAGCATGAAGTCATAAGTTCGATTCCCGGTACCGGAAAACAAACAAAAAAAAACAAAAAAATAAAACACCAAGTGTGGGGGCACGCACCAGTAATCCCAGGACTGGGAGGCTGAAGCATGATTGTCCTGAGTTCAAAGCAAGCCTGAGCTACATAGCAAGACCCTGTCCAAAAAAAAAAACCAAATCATTCCTCTGTAAAACCTAAACAAACAAGCAGAAGGCACTGACTTACCACACTTTCAGGTCAATTGCAGGAAACAGAAAATCATGTTTTGTTTTCCGCTTGGGGAAACAGCCTACAGTACCAGGGCCCTTTTCCCAGGCCCTAGACGGAACCGGCTCTGCACGCATCACGCCAGGACCCCCAGGAGCCTCAGCCTCAATCAGTACAGTAGGGACGACGCAGGAGCGGGGCGGGGCTAGGCCTCCGGGCTCAGCTTTGTTCTCCAGAGCTGTGACTCTGGGGCTCAGCTGTGAGTCAAGGAGGCACGTGGAGCCAGTCAGACACCCCCACAGTGGCCGTCAGTGAGGGCTGAGGGGGCCCCAGGAGCAGGCGGGGCAGGGTCTTGGCTCCAAGCGGAGAAGCGGGGCTGGGGTCGTAGGCAGCGAGTGGCCAGGCTGGGGTGTCACACAGCCAGGTTCCCAGCCCAGCACCCTCAGGGCACAAAGTGCTGAGGGGTGCCCGCCTCTCACCCGCTACAGCCGGCGTCAGGAGCCGGAGGACCATGGTCGGATGCCCCCGCTGCTCTTGCTAGTGAAGCCCTGGCCCAGAGGTGGCCAACTGTGTCCACTGGCCTAGCCCCAGGAGGCGAGATGAGGCAGAGCCAGGCCTGGGGTGGGCCTTGGGCAGCACCCAGCAGTCCCGTGTAACCCACAACCTTTCCGGCCCAGGGCCCCCATCTGAGGCAGGAGCCCCTGAGCTAACTGCACAGCTCAGCTCGACAAAGCAGTGCTCTGATCCAGCTCCCTATTTCAACACCCCAGGAGTGGGACTGCAGCCACAGTGGGCAGTGGTGCCCCCCAGGTCCCTAACAGACAAAGACAGGGTGAAGAGTTCTGACACAGGCAGGAGGCTGGCGGGCTTCCCAGGGATGGTGCAGAACAGCCTGGGCTCCCTGTGCCCAGCTCCAGCATGCTACGCTGACCTGTCCCAGGCAGGCTGAAGGGTAAACAGCTGCAGGGATGGGGCGGACGTGGCTCCTGGAGGCAGATGGCTGCTGACCCCCTCAGGGCCTGCTGTCACGTTGTACCTCGCGATGCACGGGCCTCAGCCTCCCAGGCTACTAACCTTGCCCATCCAGTAAACCACAGGCCCCCAGGGCCGGCCCCTGGACCGTCAGCGGCACACTGGTGGCCACTGTGCAGGCCTCGAGGTGCGTTTCACCTTACACCTCCTCCTTACCCACCACAGAGCATGGAGCAGACGACCCTGGCCCCCTGCCAACCCTAGCCCGGCTGCATTTGTTTTCCCACTGAAATTCCACGGCAGGGCTGTGCCTGAGCCAAGCGTCACACAGACGACTCGGGCATCTGGAGGCCCAGTCCTCACCCGCCCTGGCCTGTGCAGGGGCCTCCCTCCCTCCAAGAAGCCTCCCTGAAGTCCCTGCGGGCCCCTGTACACCCAGAGCCCTGAACCCCGCGTGCTGGCACCGCACCCTGGCTGCCCCCACCCTGGGTCATGAGCTTGGCCGAGTCGGGGCTGAGGCACCGCACTCACACCCAGTGCAGGCGCCACGCCCGGCACAGGAGCAGTCGGTGTTGGTAAAAGCGAGCAGGGCGAGTGCAGATGCAGGGCCTTCAGCCCGCACCCCGCCCCGGGCCCCGGGCTCCGTGTGCAAGCGGACCACCACAGGCAGGCCCTGACGCTCCAGCAGGGCACCCTGCGTGACTCAGCAGCCAGGGACACCACCTCCAGAGTCCTGCGAGTGCGGCTCACTTGAACATCAGGACGACCAGCCCTTCCTCCCAATCAAGCCAGGCCACGGGGCAAAGGCCTCTTAGATTTATTGGGAGCCCCGGCCCTGCCTGGAGCCGGGGTCTCATCGTGCCCTGGGGTCCTAGGGCCAGCCCCAGCCCCGCTGACCGCCCCAGCCCTTCCTGGCTCCCAGGCCGCTGCGGTGTGGCGCACATCCTGCCCTGAAAGTGAGGCAGGGCTCCGTCCTGGAGCCCCAGGCTCTGCAGGTGCAACAGCAGGGACCAGCTGGGGCCGGAGAGCTGACCAGTCCTCCAGAGCTGCAGGCGGGTCCAGCTGGGAGCCGGCCTGCCGGGTGGCCCCTGGCCAGGGTCCACAAGGCGTCCGTTGGGGTCCCAGCGTCAAGCACAGCCTCCCGCCTTGCTCAGCTCCCACACAGACTGCCTCCATCGGTGGGGCTGGGTCTTGGCCCTGTGGCTGCTTGTGCCCTGCAGCACACCCAGCGGTGTCACCTGGGCCCGGCGTAGCCGTAGGGGCGCTGCAGCAGCAGGCTCTGGTGGCTGGGCAGCACGTGTGTGTGGTAGTGCTCCACCATGCTGCCCACGCTGGCGAAAAGGACTTCGCCCTCCAGGTAGAACTTGGAGTCCTGCAGGGCCGGGAGAAACAGGGTCAGCAGGCCCAGGCCGGCCGCACCCAAGCCCATCCTCCCGCCCGGGGCCCCATTTGTAAAATGGGGCAGTCAGGAATCACAGTGACAAAGTCTGGCCCGCGCCCGGCTGCCCCATGTCCCCGAGCCACTCCCCACATCCCCAGGTCCAACATGGAGCCCACACCCAGGGGCTGTGGCGAGGTGTAGATAAAGCCAGCGTGCAGGTCTGATCACCAGCCCCGCTGGGGGCCCCAGGCACAGGCGAGGGGCACAGAAGGGGTGAGATCCAGGCCACGCCACTCTCAGCCCACCTACAGCACCCCGAGCCAGGAGCCGCGCCCAGCCCCTTCCCAAGGCCCGTGTCCCACGTCCTAGGTCCCCCCAGCAGTGTGGTCCCCCACCTTCTCAAAGATGCGGTAGTTCCTCACTTTGTTGGAGGACTCGTCCCACACAACCAGCACCTACAGGGAGAGAGGCGTGAAGCAGACGCCTGGGCTGAGAGGCTGCAGGGCCGACCTCGGAGCCCAAGGGCACAGGTGCGCCAGGCTGGGGGGGGGTCTCAGGCAAAGTGCGGGGACTGCAGGCCCTGCCACTAGCAAGTGTGCCCCGGGAGAGCCTCTGATGGGCCCGAGTGGCAGGCACCCAGAGTCACCTCTGACACCAGGAGGGCTCGGCTCCGCGAGGACCTGGGAGGTGCTGGCCAGCCTCCTGCCACGCCCTCCCCAGCCTCCGATCCCAGCCCCGCCCTGCCACTGAGTCCTGGCACCCAGCCCCCCCGCCCTCCCCATAGAGGGCCCCCAGTGTGCAGGGGGTGCTCTGTCCCTGCGAGGAGAGGAGGCTGCTGAGGGCAGGGGCTCAAGGGCAGACTGGCTAAGTGTGAGGCGGCCCCACGTGCAGCAGGGGTCCACAGACTGCAGCGCGCCCCCGTCAGCCCTCGCTGCACAGCACAGCCAGGGCCCTACCTTGCCCGACTTGGTGGAGGAGTTCCGGATACAGTACAGTCCGTCCTGGGGCTCCCCCCGGGGGCTGGTGGCTCTGAACAGCCTGAAACCAAACAGCCGAGTGGACGTGAACCCCCGGGATGCTCTAGGACTCCCGCTCCGCCACCCTGGGCTTTCTGCGCCCCTAGACGGAGCGGGAGGGTGGTCGGCCTGCCCAGCGGCACCAGGGGCCAGTGACTGCCCAGCACCAAGACGGGAGCCGGAGAAGCGGGAGCTCCGCCCCCCACCCCTCGCAGAGGGCTCGGCACTGACCTCTCCACTTCACAGGACTCCGTGGTGTTGACGAACACGGAGCTGGGCAGCGGCACCTGAAAGAGCACGGTGGTCAGCGCTGGTGCCCACCTCCAGCGCCACCCCAGTGCCGGCCACCCTGCACCAGCCCGGGCCGTCCTTCGCCCCTCAGCGCCCGCCTGGCTCAGCCTTGCCTTCTCGTAGTCCTCATCCGAGTCCTCCTTGCTGGAGTCGGCCTGTGAGGGCTGCCGGGGCTTTTCGAAGGAGAAGCTCCTGAAACTCTGCCCGTCGGGGGGCGACCGCCTAGGGGGTGAGGAGAAGAAGGCAAGGCTGTGTCACGCTCAGCCTCCATAGCCACCCGCTCCCTGTACGCGTGGCTGCCACAGGCTGGGCGTCGGAATCCAGGGCATCTGCAGGGCAATGAAGCGCTGAGCCCTGGACCCACTGACCAGGAGGGCAGCAGGAATCAACCGGCCAAGGCTTGGGAGCCCGAGGAGGCCAGGGCTGCCATCCACGCTGGCAAGGGCCCTGGGCACCAGAGCTCAGGTGTTGCCATTCAGGGGACAACAGACACCTCTCAGAGCCACAGGGGGCAGACACATGTGAACAGGATGAATGCAACTCGGCCCCAAGAGACACCGGTGAGAGCCGCGCACACTCCCCAGATGGCCCGCGCTGCCCCCGGCATGGGACTGCTGGCTATGGGCGAGGCTGTACCTGACGATGGCCCTTGGCATCTGCCAGACCGAGGGTTGGCAAAATGACAGCAGAGCTGCCTGGTGAACGACACGTGTGACGCGGCTGCTCCCAGCCCTTCCCAGCAGCAGCAGGGGCTCTGAGAATGGGCGACCCTGAGGGGATGGAGGACACCCCGGAGCCCCTGGCACCAGCCTGCAGTAGAGCAGGAAGCCCCGAACAGGGCTGGGGCTGAGTCACAGCCATGCACCACATTCCAGCCACTTGCGGCTGGGAAGGACACAAAGGCGGCCTTCACGGGGAGACACCAGCCCCTGGGCAGGATGGGACGGGCCTGGCGTGGCAGGGCCTGCAGACCCAGCTGAGGCCGCCCCCTCCCCCCTCCCATGCTGGGTTCCAGGAGGCTGGCATCCCCGAGGCCGCTGAGACTGTCCCTGGGGTGGGGAGGCAGGACCGCCGCACGCGGACTCACTGGAGGTGGGGCAGCTGGGGCTTCTCCGGCCGGGGCAGCACTGCAGGCCGAGAAGCGGTGTCGGGGAATGGCAGCTTCAGTGCGGGAGGCCTGGGTGCCACGGGGGGCACAAAGAGTCCAGGCTTGGCTGCCCCCCGTGGAGGGCCCTCCTCGGCTATCTTCGGGAACTTGGGCTTGTTGGCTGGCACGGGCGGGGGCTCAGATGCCGGTGGCCCCCGCGGGGACAGGTGGAAGGACTTGAGCTTGTCACAGTTCCTGGTGGTGGCAGAGGCTGTGCTGGCACAGCTGGAGGTAGTGCTGGTCCCGTGGCCGGGTGTCCAAGGCTCCGGGCTGGGGCCGGCGCCCTCTCGGAAGCACTGAGGCTTCCACAGGCTGGGCCCGGCGGGCAGACTGCTGGGCGGGGGGTCACTCATCCTCCGGGAGGTGGGGGGCACCCTGAGGCCAGACTCTGTCCACCTCAGGCCCAGTGGGTCCCTCTTGGCATCCTCGGTGGCCGCACTGGTGTCAGGGAGGCCACGCTTCGGGGGTGGGGGCGGCAGCAGCGGGCCTGGGCCTTTGGAGTTGAAAGAGTGAGCTCGCGGCAGGTCGGAGATGGGGGGCTTCCGGGTCGAGGGCACGGGCGGCGGAGGGTAAGCCGGCGGATGAGTCAGGGGATCTGCGGAGCACAGGGCCAAGGGTGGTGTCACCACCTCTGCGGGAACAGCAGGCCTCAGCCTGCTCGCCCGAGCCCAGCCCCCTGACCGCTCCCCCGCCACCGGGCCCTGCCCATCGGTCCACAGGGCAGCCACTGGAGCTTCATGAAGCCTGGGTGCCATGTGGGCGGCCACCGGGCTCCAGGGGTGGCTGGCCGGGGAAGAGGAGCACGTGGGAGGGAGAGGACGGCCAGGGTTTGCTCACGAGCTGAAACTGCTGCAAGACGTCCAGGGGGACCGTGAGAGGGTGGACGGGCCGAGAGGGTGAGGAGGGAGAGGCCTGGGCCCAGGACGGGCAGGAAGCTCGCAGACTGGCTGAGAGCAGGCGGGCTGGGCAAGGGAGCACCCCGCAGGCCTGGGAGGGCTGGGTGGGCGGTAAGCAGGCCAGGACGCGGGCAAGGGCCGCGGGCGGAGGAGCTGGGGGCTGGAGGACCGCAGGGGCTGCGCCCCAGTGAGCAGCGAGGAGCAGAGGGGTCAGAGAGGTCACTAGAGAGGAGCAGAGTGAGGGGCAGGGCGCAGGGCAGAGACGTGCCTGGTGCCGCCCGTCACCCTGGGCGGCAGGCAGCTGTGCTCCCCACTGCGGGGCAGCCGTGGGGCAGCAGGTGCTCTGAGCATGCATTTATTTATTTATTTATTTACTTTTTTCGCTTTTTGGTGGTACTGGAGGTTGAGCCCACAGCCCTCACATTGACTCACATTCCCAGCCCTTTGTATTTTTAATTTTGAGACAGGGTCTCGCCAAGTTGTTAAGTCACCCAAACTGGGCTTGAACTTGACATCCCCACGCCTCAGCCTCCCAGATTGCTGGGATTACAGGCACGAGCCACCACACCCAGCTCTAAACCTCTTAATACTTAGTCCCAGCAGGGAAACTGAGCCCCCACCCACCTCCTACCCACTGAGAGACCCCAGGCCCACCAGCCCCGCCTACCATCCAACTTCACAGGCTCGGGGGAGTCCGGCTCCAAGTACGAGTCATCCTCGTCTTCGTGCTCGTAGTCTGGGGAGAGGGAGAGGCTGAGGCCCAAGGCGGCCGGCTGCATGCGGACAGGGTGGTGGCCACCACGCCTAGCACGGCGCTCTGCACACGGGGCGGGGGGAGGACAGGCCGCGGGAACCAGACTGTGGAGGCCAGCAGGGAGGCCAGTGTCCCTCTGCTGGAGGACAGGGTGGGTGCAGCTACACACACTGGTCAGTGGGGCAGTGGGGCAGGCACCAGCCTCACCTTCATTGTCTGTGGGATACGGGGAGAGGCTGATGTCCACGGGCCGCTCCACTGCACCATAGAAGCTGTCTGTGTCCGAGCTGGAGTCGCTGATGTGCGGGGAGAGGACAAGGCCAGCGTGACACGGGGCCTCGGCACTCACACGCAGGGACGCTCCCACAGACACACACTCACACTC